GTTATTATTCATGTGGTTCATGTTTTGCACGGGACAGTTCAGTTCGGACCGAGACAAGACCGAAGAGATTTAGATCTGAACATCGATCCAAAATTCTAGAGCTTTTTGTATTTGGTGCAAGAGTGCAAGACTTGGATTGTTATAAAATATATAGACATATAATCGTTGATCGGTTTTACAACGTTGACAGGGTTGACCCACCGGGTCCGGGTTAACCCGTGATCTAGTCATGTGACCGAGTCGTTCTCCGGTTCGATTTTTTAAACATAGAATGAAACGAATCATTACCTTTTACTTAATATTTACTTAATATGATTATGACTTAGATAGGCATGCCAGGCATGGCGCATGCGTGTAGGTCAAAACTCTGAAGTTATTTTTGAGATGGGGGAGTATTTATTTTATACTACCTCCGTCCCATTTTATGTGTCTTAGTTTGACTTGACACGGTTATTAATGAAGTAGTTGAAAAAGTAAAAGTTGTGGTTGAGGTTTGAGTATAATAAAGTGAAATGGTGTAGACCACATATTTCTTCCAAAAAAGGAAAGAAAACATTTATTTTAGGACAACCCATAAAGGAAAGTAGGACAACTAAAATGGGACGGAGGGAGTAAATGATTTTGTGTATAATTGAAATGAATGTGCATCTAGTTTCTCTTATGGTAAAAGATTTATGTTAAATCACTTTGAAGTCAAACGTATACGATGAAAAAATAACAAGTCTAATACGGAGTAATAAGTATTCAATCACTTTGAAGAGCAAATTTAATCATTGACCATGTTTTCAAGAATATGAAGCTTATAATGACCATATTAGTCCTCATACTTCTAAGTGAAGACACTATAAAAACAAAATGGTATAGTTCAATAACTAATTGAAAACCTAAAAATGACAAACAAAAAGTAAAATTGACATGACCACAATCAACAACAAAACCTTTTATTTGATAACTTCTCTTGCCCACATATTTTCCACAATTTCACGCACTATCGCAGGGCGACTCATCCGTCTTTAAGGACCCGTTTGGATGGAGTGTGTGGAAGTGTTAATAATGGAAGTGTTAATAAATGTTAGTAAAGGCCCGGAAGGGAAAGGAAGTGTAAGTGTTAGACATAATTTTACTTTGTTTGGAAGAGTCAAATGAATGAAGTGCTAATAGTAGAAATGTTCATAATTTTCCTTGAGGCAGAAGAAACGAGTAAGGAGAAGAGATGAAAAAGGCAGACCATCAGACCTGCAGCAAAGAGATTCGAAGTGAGATGTCGAAGCATTTTACATTTTTAGGGTAAATGAGAAGAGTAATAATTGTTTAACACCTCAAAACACTCCAAATCGGGGTGTTAAAAAGTAGACAATTGAGGTGTTAGCAAGATTATTATTAACACTTCCTAACCTTTACTAACACTTCTTAACACCTCTTAATTTTTCTCCCAAACAAGTGTTAGTATCAACACTTACTAACACTTCCTCACTAATACTCCCCAACACTCAGTAGCAGATTTAGGATTTGGGTTTTGAGTGTTCAAGCTCCTTCTAGAATTAAAACATTGAACATCAATAAATAATTTACACATATATTCTTAAATACTTTTTAAAAAATTTAGTGTTCAAGAGAACACTTTGGATCTAAAGTGGCTCTGCCACTGCCAACACTCAATCTAAATAGGCCGTAATGGTAATGACACTTGATACAATGACTAGTGATTATGGCGGTTCTACGAAACAGTGACATTTATAATCGATTTTTGGAACGAACCACTCTATAACCATCATGTCCCCCACCAAATGGCCAAACTTGGACCATGATTAAGATTAGTGTTTATGAATGTGTTCACAGTGCTCCAAAACACATCATCAAACATTTTTTGTAGTATTATAGAAGGGATGAATAGAGTAAAGTTAATTGGGTAATAATACGTCTGAACTATGAACTGATAAACTGATTTGAACTCCTTCAACTCACTTATGGATGATATAAAGTGTAAATTATCCTAAATAAACTTTGTATAAAGTTATGCCTTCTATCTTTTTTTATTCTCATCCAAATACCACTTTATATCAATATTATATGACAATCTATTATATACTACGCATATAATCTCTAATACTACATATGATACTCAGTATAAGTATACTTTTCTTCAGTTCATTTGAACATTGTTATTATTTATTTTATTTAACTTAATTAAGAAGAGGGCATTTTTTCAATGACACGGATAGGATTCAAAGTCGTTAAAACTTGAGGGTTATTATGTGGATCGGAGATCATAATAACAAATTTTAACAATTCAATCTGAACATTATTTTCCTTCTTACAACTATCAAGGAAAGTATACATTAACTCTATGATTGATAGACATAAGTCCATAAATTTTAACTTTTTCACAATTCTAAAAGCTGGTAAAAGTTCTTAGTGATATGTTGGCACAACCATGTTTAGAGCTTTTTTAAATATGTGAAATCCTTTTTGAGAAGCTATGTTGAGTAGTTTTTGGAAAGATATTCTATACCTTTTAACATTAATTAGTCGATATACTTGTTACACCAAACAAAGTTAAGTCAAACAATCAACTTTTATCAGATAATTACAAAAATTTTCTTTTAAAATATTTACAAACATTAAAAGTTAAAACTTACTAAAAAACTTCAAAAAAAAGATCATTTTAACTAGTTGTGCCTCGAGAAACATCATACTAACACACACATACGCTCTTTAGAGCATCTCCAATGGAACAATGAACATGATGTATGTGTGACTCGAGAGACATGGATAAAAAGAATAAATTGGTAATATCTCTCTTTCTTTTTTCCATAATTTTTCTGTACTTATAATACTATGCAAGGAAAACATATAGACATCGTAGTACATGTCTTCAATTCTTTTATATGAATTAAGTACATGTTTATGACACTATATTGTAGTAACTATTTGTTGGGTTAATGACCCAACCGACCCGACGTTCGTCTCCAGACTCCGAGCCCACCAGGGTCCAGGGGTAGCTGTCCTCAAGCAGCCCAAGGCATCATCATGGTACGTCTCATGAAAAGGACGCCCGGCCTAGGGAGCCTTAGCCATGAAGACCAACCAGTATTCTACGTCATCCACAACCAAGCAACGTGTTGGAGACGCTCGGCTTCCCTCCCTTATCTTACTGTCAGGAGAAGGACCAGGCCCTAGGTGACACTCGTCCTCAAGGCTTGGCGAGAAACAAAGATTCTGGCGGAAAGCGCATTTAATGCTGCAGATTTGGTGGTCAGGAGCCTAGCCATCCACAGCCCTCCACGTCAACATTCCTAACTACCCCTTGTAGTATAAATAGTATCATTTATTTCATTGTAAATGGTTGACAACTTATTCGCCTTAACATCCTAGCATTCTCCTTAGCTTATAACAGCGTCCTCAACTCTTCCTTAAGCGAGACAGACGATCGGCCGCAGGACAGATAGCATTAGTGTGTTGTATACGGATTCTTACTGCCATTAATAAGATACAACCCACAGTTGCAAATATATTTTAGTCCATCTTACTTGCTTGCACTATGTATTTACATACACAGATACACTCTTCCCCTCGAAATCCTTGGGTTACGTGTTGGGCCTATGGATTGAAGGAATCATATTTGTGTAAATAAGTTCTATTCTGATAATATTTTTGAAAAAAACCTTTTTTATGTCTATTTCTTGCATATCATATATCTATATTGTTACTGATAGAGTATATGGGCCCGGATCGGCCAGACACCGAGGCACTTGGATTGCGGTCCAGAGGCCCAAGGAAGTAGGTCGCGCATCGGCCTCGAACCGCAACGGCCTGGGATTGTATCGGCCAAACTTCTCCGGACAAAATGTACTTTTTATATTTAATTTACTAAATCTTGTACTCAGCCCCTTAGTAACCCTATTATGCCCAGAAAAGGCATTATTATTGTAATGGGCCTCCTAAGCCTATGTTTAGTAACCCAAATCCACATTTACTCCTATCAATAGCATTCAAGAGTAGTTATATGGGTTGAGAAATATTAATTACTCATTTTCTCTCTCTAGCTCTCGCTTCTCTCTAGAATTAAGGGGGTGTTTGGAACTGATTCTGCTTCTGTTTCTTTTTAAAAGCAGAAGCAGAATCAGAATCAGTTTTCAGAAGCTGGTCCCCCCAGCTTCTAAAAAACTTATTATAGGAGTAAATTAGAGCATCAGAATCACTTAAGCATTTTCACCCAAACACTCCAACTTTTGCTTCTGCTCCCTGAAGGAGCAGAAACAATTTTAAGAATCAGATCCAAACACCCCCCTAAATACTCTTTATCAGTTACTCCCTCCGTATCAAATTAATTGACCCATATGCTTCTTCACATAATTTAAGGCAAATATATATCAAGTATGAGGTTTTGGTACTGTAGCGGTACTGTAGCAATACTGTAGCGGTACTGTAGCTGCTTTTTGGGTGGGTTTATTTCCAAAAACGGAAATGAGACTTTTATTTTGATACGTCCCGAAAAGGAAAGCGGGTCAATTAATTTGATACAGAGGGAGTACATATTACCCATTAGGTAGATTCTATGGTACCCATAAGGTACCATACCTTTGTCCACATGGACTAATGAGAATGTTGCAGTTGAATTATTTAAACCTAAATTAAAAAAGATAAAGTGAGGTGGTCCAATCAAATAAATGATAGGTACGGTACCCCATTTTTTAAAAAGGTACAAGAGTTGTCACCTACACATTATTGTACGTGCTATTCAAGATCTTGCTAGACTGCTAGTCGCCTAGAATAAAAAAAAAGGATGTGGTTAAGATAACATGTGGTTATCTTAATTATGTGGTTAAGATAACAAAGCACTTTTTAGGCTTTTTATAGCCTTTTGCATTTTTTTAGGAGAACTTCAAACTTTTCCTTCCCAACTGTTTTTAGGGAAAGTAAAAGGACACGTACGTTTATCACAAAGCAGCCGTTTGGACTCCCGCCAGGAAGTGATCGGTACTATTTATTTCTTCTTCAAAACCACTGAGTAGACATTTTCACAAACCGAAAATGGAGTCGATCCCCCACCTCCCATGGGAGGTAATTGTGCACATTCTTTGCAGATTGCCCGTGAAAGATCTGCGTCGCTACAGGTGCGTATCGAAGTCCTGGTGCTCCCTCATCGGCGGCCGCAATTTCATCAACCTCCACCTCAAGCACTCGCCGGAATCCACTTCCCAGCTCGGATTCGTGTTCGGGGGCAGCAAGGGTCTCTGGTGGGCTACCTTGAACGATCTCAACTCGTTCGTCCGACTCACTTACCCTATAGACATTGGGTCTGGGATTAGCGTTCACGGAAGCTGCAATGGATTGCTTGCTATCATGAATCGTAGTTCGGATATGGCGATTTGGAACCCTTTCATTCGCAGGTACGTCAGATTACCCATCTCTGATCATTTCCAGTCCTTTCCGATGCATGAATTCGAGGTTTTCCTCACCGGATTTGGGCACGACCCGGTTACTGACGATTATAAGTTGATGATGCTGGTCGAATTTAACGGGCTCTTTCGGAGATCATTTGACCGCGAAGTCAAGGTTTATAGTTTAAATGACAAATCCTGGAAGAAAATTGATAATTTCCCTAATCACATCAGTTATGGTCGTAACAATGGGGTCCTATTTGGCAATGCTTTGCACTGGTTGGTGAAAACCAAGCCTGATAATTCCAATCTGATTCTGTCCTTTGATCTTGTCACCGAAACTTTCGGAGAGATTCAGCTTCCCGAAAACAAGTGCATTTGTGTGAAGCTTGTGAATCTAGGAGGATCATTTTGTGCTGTAATGCTGACTACTCTGTCACCCACAGTTGAGGTGTGGGAGATGAAGGAATACAGAGGCAAAGAGTCTTGGGCTATGTTGTTTTCTGTTCCACCTACCAATCCAACTCCCCCTTTCAACTTTACGATTCCAATCGCATATTTGAAGAATGGTGACCAGGTTTTGCTTCATGACAGTAAAAAACTCTTCGTGTATGATATCAAAAGAAAGGTTCTGATGAAAAATGAGGCAGGCGCTGCTTTTCCTGAAATTTGTGATGCCCTTGTTTGTGTGAAAAGCCTGGTGGGACTTGATTTTAGTGAAAGTACTTGGAATACTAAGAAGCACACTGCTAAGCAGAGGTAAGGTCTACAATTTATTTGAATTCTTGTTACTGGATAAGTCCTCTAGGCTATGTTTTTAACGCTTAAGGTTGTTGGCATTTGACAAGAGAAAAAGAACGTCATTGAAAACAGTTTTCTTACTTGTGATGGTAAATTGCCTTGAGAAATACAAACGAAAATCAGATTTGGTGCTAGTAGACTCAGTTTTTAAATATGCTGTTTTTTGTCTCTACATAAACTTATTTTAATTTTTTTTGGAATCAACTTATTTTAATAGATACTCCCCAAATGACAACTCTTTTTTTAGTTTGCACTGTTTTATTCTTTGTTTCTAGTTTTTTTTTGGTTCTTTGTTTCTAGATTGTCTTCTCTATTTTCACCCGTATTAGCTTCCTCTGCCTTTACTAATCCCAAACACTCTCGTGTTTATTCTTATATGTATACTTTTTTTGAGGAAATTCTTATATGTATACTGATCGGTATTGAATGCTATCTAACTGGATTTGGTTTTGAGTAGAGATGATTTCCTATCCAAGGGATTCAAATTGGGTCTATAAAGTGATGCAGAAAAGTTGGCAGAAGCAAGGCAACAAAAGCTCTCGTTTTGGTTACAAGAATCATGTTTTCTGGGTTTTTCATGATCACACTGTGTGTTATGGGATTTTCATCATCACTCTGTGTGTTATGTGCTCTGCTGTTTTTTTGGAATTTTGCCAGAAGGAAGATAACAAAAACTCTCATTTTTGTTACCAGAATCGTGTTTGCTTGGATTTTCAGACATGCACTATAGACCTAATTAATCGTGATAAAGTTTCACATATTTTGCTACTGATAGTGATTTAGTTCCATTTTAATTTTTGTTCTAATGATGTGGCTGTTACTGCTGCTTTTTAAGGAATTTTGTTATCTACGTTTGATGTAGTAGTACTTTTATACGTTGGTATTCAAAAGAACATCTTCATCTGAAGTATTCAAGTATGGGCAGTTTTCTTGTCTAAATATCCTTCCAAAATTCATAATGGTTAATCATATCATTGCCCCAATGCCGCAAAAGCTCCCACCTACGGCTAGTGTTGGACTCAGTCCGGGTCAGGTCGGCCCGACCGGGCTTTTGAGGTTTGGGGTGAAGGCCCGGGACCGGCCCGGGTTAGCACCGGGTCTGGGCCGGGTTCATATTTTTTTCTTTTCTAATTAACCCCCCTACCACCCACCCCCCAAACCTCCCAAAACACCCAGCCCAACTCAGGAAAAAGCCCAAAAAAATGAAAAAAAAAGACCTGAACTGGGCCCGGGACTGGCCGGGTCGGGTCACCATTTCCTACACCTGAGCCCACTCCCGCTAAACCCACCGGGTCGGGTCGAAGCCCGGTACCGGAACCGAAGGACCGGGCCGGGCCGGTTCACGGGCCGGGCGGCCCGACCCGAGTCTATGACTACCTACGGCAGGACAAGGAGGATTAGATGTACGCGTTCTTATCCATGTACTAAAACATAGAGAAGATTGTTTCCGGATGACACATGGTGAAAATTGTGTCGAAAATTACATGAATTGATTGATACGTCATAATAAAGAAACATATAGTTAGTGAACCATTTTGCTTTATTCTTAATGGCTCTTTGGTTTAAAATAAGTTTCTCGGTTAACCATCCAACGATGACTTTTCAAATTTGATTTTCACAATGTATATGTAACATCGTACCGGAGTAGTGGTGGCCCGGGAATGGTCTACCTGGACCAGTACCTTGACCGGACTGCCACTGTGCGGGACCGGCCCAGACTGGTTTACCGGGACCGGGCATATGACCTGGATTGGGGGGTGGAGGGGGGGGGGGGGTGGCTCGGGCTACAACCCACTTGGTACCGATCCGGGCCCATTTTTTTGGTTTGTTCGAATGGTTTGGGTAAGAGCCGGGTTGGGCTGGGTGGTTTGGGGGTGTTTGGGGGTTGGGGGTGTTTGGGGGTTGGGGGAAGGGGGGTAAGAATAAATAAGAAAAAAATAAAAAATTACCCGAGACTGGCCCAGTCCTGGAATATAGCCAGTCCGGTTCCGGGCCTCCATTTCCCAGACCCGGTCCCAACCCGGGACCAGTCCATTCTTATACGAAGTATCTTTGTAACATTATTTTTGTTCTTTTTTTATTTGTCTAAAGAATTTTCATCTAGGGAATTAAACCAATTGTGTTTTGTAGTGGTGTAGTATTAACTATTGAGTCCAAAATGTTAAAGATGAAATTTTGGGACTCCTAATTTAATGTAGTGGTAGAGAGTAAATGGAGTATTAAAAGCGGGGAAGGGAATAGAGGGAGTATAAATGGAGGGTTAGGACTGTGACTTTGGAATCAAGAACTAGAGAACCGAACCAGACCTAACTGTTATGACCCGATTCGGTTCGGTTCCATTATTTATTAGTTACTTATTAAGGGTTCAGTTCCTTTTTCTTATTAACAATTTGGTTCTCGGTTCCTACCTGGAACTATGAATGGACTCGAGCCGGCTCGGGTCAGGCCCGATCGCGATGAGCTTTGGTACTACAAGATTCAGACCCGGTACCAGGCCGTTTTGTTCCGGTACCGGTACCGGTTCCGGTTTGGCTACTCGGACGGGCCTCAGTCTGGTCTCAAGGTGGTGGGTGGCGGCCTTGCGGCTGACAGTCGTGCTACTCGATGGCGGAAATGATGGGGTGGTGAGGTCCATATGCTCACAAACCCTAATTTCATGAAATAGACGAAGAAGAAACCCACAAACTCTAATCTCAATCGACAAGTGAGCAGGGGCACGGGTCGATAGAGGCAGCGAGGAGGCAGACGTACGACGACGATCATGTGGCTTTGCGAATGTACGCAGGTGGTGAGCAGGGGACTGGGATGGACAGAGACGGCGAGTAGGCCGTTGTGCGGCGGTTTGTGGGAGGTGGTGCATCTTGGGCGGCGGGAGACTAGAAACTAGGGTTGCAGAAAAGGAATAAGAGGTCGGAGTTTTATAGGTATAACCTAAATGGCATATTACCCCATAAAAACTATTTATTTATTTATTTATTTATTAATAAGTAAATTAAATATTATGAACTTAAATACTCCGTACTATTTTTGGAGAAAACTAGTTAGTTCTTAAATTGAAAAAGTGAAAAAGTTTTACTCATACATAGGATAACTTTCTCTTATTATAAGTAGGAAAGATGACAGATGATGAAGATGGAAGATTGTGTAGATGGAAGTTGATTAAGGGTGATGAAGAAGTTTAAATAAGAATGTTTTATTTCAATTTATTTCAGCCTCAGATCCGACCATAGTAGACAAGACTTTACATGATCAGACCAAACTTCTACAATTATAAAATACAAATAGATAATACCATCTACCTGACAAGATCACTTTAGACCTAATCTAAATAGACCTGATAAAAACATACTATTCCAGAAGATTTAAGTCCAAATGAAGACATCCTAACCACCAAAGAGGGGAGAGAAAGTAAAAAGAAAAGAGAAGGAAATGAGAGAGAATATGTACTCCCTTCATCCATAAAAATATTTTCAATTTGGACTCGATCGAGGTTTAAAAAAATCTGGATAAAGTTGAAATGTGTGACTGCAGTTGAGTAAGAAAAAAGTAAAAAATGTTAGATACACGGCACTTTCCAAAAATTGAAAGAAGAAAATTTTAGAACATTCTGAAATGTCAAGTGAGTTATGGGATGAAGAAAGTAAAAAATAATTCCCCTTCCGTTCCTTAATTGACTTCCAAAGTACATTTGACACGTGAATTAATTTAGTTTGTATGGTGTGGCAGAGAGTTGTATAAATTTGACGTTTAAAGATATGTTAGAATATTGTGAACTACAAATTTTTTATCAAATACTCCGTCGGAAAAATCAAAATTTATTTAGAAAAGGTAAAAGTTTAAACACGGTGGGAGGGACTAGGGGGTACATTTCCCACGCTTCCAAGTCCAACTGCTTGCTTGATCACACTCCCCTAAAAGCTACTCCGTATAAAACTGCGTTTAGGGGAACTAAAAAGACACGCACCCTTCCCGCCGTGGAGCGCTAGACTGCTAGGTACCATTTCATTGAATTGGCATTTTCACAAACAATCAATGGAGACGACCGCCCACCTTCCATGGGACATAATCCTGGAGATTCTATGCCGATTGCCCGTGAAAGATCTGCTGCGTTTCAGGTGCGTATCGAAGTCATGGTGCTCCCTGATCGGCGGCAGTGATTTCATCAATCTCCACCTCAAGCACTCTCCCGAATCCACTTCCCAAATCGGGTTCGCGTTCGGGGGAAACACTGATGTCTGCTGGGCTTCCTTGAACGATCTCAACTCCTTCGTTCGGCTCACATGCCCAATAGACATCGGAACTGGTTTGAGCGTTCAAGGAAGTATCAACGGATTGCTAGCTATTATGAACCGTAGTTTTGATATGGCCATTTGGAACCCTTTCATTCGGAGGTACATCAGTTTACCCATGTCTCATCATTTGTCTCATCATTTCCTTCCATTTCATGAATTCGAAATTCTTCTCACCGGATTTGGGCACGACCCCATCACTGACGACTATAAGTTGGTAATGTTAATCGAATTTAATGGGCTGTTTACTAGATCCTCTCACCGTGAAGTGAAGCTTTATAGCTTAAATGCCAAAAAGTGGAAAAAAATTGATGACTCTCCTAAACACATCACTTACGGTCCTCCTAACCATGGGGACCTTTTTGGGGCCCTTTTTAGCAATGCTTTGCACTGGTTGGCGGAGTCCAAGCGTGATAATTCTGACTTGATTTTGGTCTTTGATCTTGTGACTGAAACTTTCCGGCATTTTCCGCTGCCTGAAAACAAATGTCATTGTGTGAAGCTAGTGAATCTAGGAGACTCGTTGTGTGCAGTCATTTTGATTAATACTCCGCCAAGGGTTGAGGTGTGGGGGATGAAGGAATATGGAGTCAAGGAGTCTTGGTTTTTGTTGTTTTCTGTTCCTCCTACAAAACCAACTCCCCCCTGCAACTACACACTTCCAATCGCATACTTGAAGAATAGTGATGAGGTTTTGCTTCACGACAGTGAAAAACTTTTCGTGTATGATATCAAAAGAAAGGAGTTCAACAAAAGGGCGGTTGGTCCTGGTTTGCCTGAAATTCGTGATGCCCTTGTTTGTGTGAAAAGCCTAGTGGGACTTGGTTTTGGTGAAAGCAGTTGTAATGGGAAGGAGAGGGGCAGCAATGTTAAAGGTGGGAAGAAGCACACTGCAAAGCAGAGGTAAGGCGTTCAATTTATTTAAATCCTTCTTGCTGGATATGTTTTTGGTCTATGTTTGTAACTCCTAAATTAGTTGCTGGTTTTGTTATGTGTGGTTGTAAAATACCTTGGAAATTACAGATGAAAATCAGATTTGCCACCCCTTTTCATGCACAATGTTTTTTAGTAAAATTTGTTTTTTTTAAATATATCTGAAATTGCTTTTTAAGTGTTTTTTCTTCCACAGTTTCTTTCTTTTAGATTGTCTCCTTTTTTATGTGTATTATCTTTCTATATCTTTTTATGAGTCCCAAACAGTTTTTTAAATATGTCTGCCCATGAGGCTTGGTTGTTTTTTTGTTGTTTGCTGATGAGTGTTGACTGTTGTGCAATTTGATATTGTTTTGAATAGAGATGATTTTCTTTCCAAGGGGTTCAAACTGCGACTATAAATAGGATATAGTTATGCAGAAAAGTTGGTAGAGGCAAGACAACAAAAGTTCTCGTTTTTGGTACAAAAACCATGCTTCCTGGGATTTTCGGCAAGCTCAGATATGGACTATCAATCATGATGATGTTTAAGCTTTTTCCTTTTTGCTACCTATCAACCTGTCTTTTAATTGATGATGTTTAGCCATTTTTGTTTGTTATCTACATTTTCATACGTTGGAGGAAGTCCTGCCTTGAAGGAAATCTAGATAGGGGTGCAACAAAAATGTTTAGGTGAAATGTCATCGTACTTGACAGTTTAACTGAGAAATTTTGAGGCCTGATAAATATATGATCTCTCTCTATGACTGTATCTTATAATTATTCAAATCTTTTCTAATTTGATCTTGTCTGATCTAGCTGAAAACAATCCAAATAAAAACATTCATAGTAGCAAGAGATAATTTGAAAATTATCCGGGTGGTTCATGTTTAGGGCTGGACTAGAAAATGGAATCCGATGGAGTCATTGGACAATTCAGTGCGGGCAGAGACAAGACCAAAGATTCTTGAGATTTTTGTTTAGACCCGCATAACAAGTTATGCGGATTAGAAGTATGAGGATTATTGAGGACCAAAGATTCATCGCAAGACACAAAACATTTTAGTTTAGACCCGCATAACAAGTTAACCAGATGATAAGAAACTTTCCATTTTTCTTAAAAATTTGTAGCAAATGAAACAACTCATTACCTTTAACTTAATTTTTGCTTGATCTGACTTAAGGTCAGTATGTTAAAAAATTCAAAATAGATTTTCTTAGATATATAGGTATGTGTGTAGGCTGAAGTTATTTTTGAAAAGGAGGAGTATTTATTTTATAAATGATTTTGTGTATAAATGAAATTAATGTGCATCTAGTTTTTCCATGGTAAAAGGTTTGTGTTCACTAACTTTGAACTCCAAGGCATACAAAAACAAGCCCAATAATAAGTATTATCATCACACTTAGGAGTGATTACCCTTATTAAAAGATTAACTCTCATCTTTGTTAATGTTTTCGACAATACGAAAATTGTAATGCGCATACAAGTCCTCAATAATCCTCATACTTCTAATCAAAGACACTATGAAAACAAAATAGTAAAGTTCAACCACTAATTGAATACATATAAATGACAAACAAAAAGTAAAACTAACATGATCACAATCAGCAACGAAACATTTTATTTGAGAACTTTCTTGTGCAAACATCTTTTTGATGCACTACTCCCATGGGGACTCATCCGTCTCTAATTCCAATGACACTTAAGACAATGGCTAGTGGTGATGACGGGTATTTGAAGCGGACCTATTTATAACCATTTTTACAACTTATCACTCTATAACCATCGTGTCCACCACTAAAGATAAATTTCATACCCAGTTAGGGGTGAGAAAAAATACCCAACCGGCATGATGCCGAATCGGATCTATTTTTTGCGTTGTTTTTTATTTTTCTTTTAAGTTTTATTGTTTTTTTTTTAGTTTATAATTTTTATTTTTCTATTTTTTTAAATTTTTTATTAAATATTTATTTTAGTCCAAAAAACTATCAGGATATATTTGTCCAAACACACATAATTAGTCATATTTAAGAAAACAATGTAATCATATTTTTGATATGACTGCCTTTTACTCCTATTTAGATAATTCATCCTAATCACTGCAATATAAATTTTAACATAATTATAGTCGTTAATAGTTATTAAGTACATAGTAACATGATCTGATCTAGCATGTTCTAACATGATTTGGACGGAAAACTATCTAATTCACTTTCCAAATAAATACATAATGGTATAGGCCGTACGTCTAGGGATGGACTGGGCCGGGCCGAACCGGCCCGGAACCGGACCGGCCCGCTACTGTGCGGGCCCGGACCGGACCGGGCCCGGTTGGCCGGTTCCGGGCTTTTAGCCCGTTTTGGCGGGTCGGGCGGGCCGGTTCCGGGCCTTGTTTTTGTTGAACCGGCCCGGGCGGTTCGGGCCGGGCCCGGTTCATTTTTTTTTTTTTTTTTTGTTTTTTTCAATTTTTTTTCTTTTCCTAGGGTAGGGCTGGGTGTTTTAGGGAGGTTTGGGGCATGGGGGTGAGGGGGGGGGGGTAGGGAGATAACAAGAAAGTCAAAAAAAAAAAAAAAAAAAAAAAAACATTGAACCGGGCCCGGCCCGGCCCGGCCCGGTTAGGCCCGGACCCGGTATCAACCCGGGCCGGTTCCGGGCCCATGTAACCCGAAAAAAAGCCCGCCCGGGCCCGGCCCGGAACCGGAACCGGCCCGGCCCGGGTCCATCCCTACGTACGTCTTTCTCAATACCTTTTAACCCAATACAATTTTTAGTGAGGTTTTTCCTTAAATATTACTAAAAAAAATTAATGAACGAAAATATTAATTAGTAACTATTAGTGACTACAATTGTGTTCAAAGTTTATACACATACTCATAAATATTTTGTGGAACCCGTTTTAGTTACTAACTTACATGCAATTGCTATAGAAATTGCTCTGAATAGGACTAAATGAAAACACAATTGCACACATAGGACTAAAGCTTAAATCTTTTGCAAACAGGACTAAACATTAATTTTCTACCCTTAATACTCCTAAGTGTATTAATTCATAAGGTTTTAATTCATAATAAAATCTTTTAATTAATAATAAAATCGTACAAAATAACAAGAATCGTTAGGAAATAATAAAAATTTATAAAATATTTATAAAATAAAAATTTATTTTTTTAAAATAAAAATTTAAAAGAATAATAAAAATAGAAAAAATACATAATTTTTTTTAAAAAAATGGATGTCTGTCCCACCGCCTCTAATAAGTAGTCATATTTTTGTAAATATCTTTATTTTGATCATATTTATGTAATTATTTCTAATATAAATAATTTTTTTCATTTTTATTTCTTTACAAGCGAGCACAATTAGGAAATAAGGAATAACATTTTTGGAAATAAGGCAAGTCTAGATGCCGTTAAAAGTATAAGAAATTGGCTTTGTTGAGTTTGTTCTGGTCTCTGGGTGTAGTTGGAAGGTATATTAGCAAACTAATCCAAAGAGAGTAGGTCAAGAGCAGAAGGTAGCGTAACCGAAAAGGCCAGGCCATATTAGAGAGAGATCAGATAACCGTCTCTTTCAATTTTGATCGCACCTTAATTTCTACCTCCTGATCGAAGTCATTTCCCAACGAAACTCTTCTTAACAGGTTAGATCGCTCTCATGATCTTCGTCATCACCAGTCGCGATATCTCGTTATCTTCTTGAATTTCCCTCCCGCACGTGCCTGTGGATTATTTCGATTCCTTCTCCTGTTATTCATTTATTCATAATGTTGTATCATTGATCAGCTTCATCCGTGATTATATTGATCTTTGTTCATTTTCGTTTTGAATGTGTATCGTTATTATAAGTTATAAGTATCATTTTGCGTGGCATATATGCGTCTACTTTTATGATTTAATCGTGGATTGATGTGTAGATGATTATTGGAATTTCCTGCGGTTCAATTAGTGTACTGAGTTGAATATTTGAGAATCTTCTAATGTATTTGTTGCATTTCGTCAATTCAAGCGTTGTCTTAGATAGTTATACACAAATGCATGATGCAAATTAACTTGCCAGTCTTTGTTGTTGTGTTTGCTTTTAATTTGGAGTTTGGACATCTGATGTACACATCTGGCTTCATTATGTCTTTGAGAAGGTCCTTCGCTTTGCAAATGGTTATGAACCTTAATTAGCAATATGTAATTTATTTATTAAAATACTGCAAAAATGTGACTGTGTGATTTTCGGTGTTCACAATTAAGAATAAAGTACGTATATTTAATCATGACTTGATTCCTGATATGCTTGTTGATTTTGTATGTACTATTGAGTATTATGTAGGTTCACTTCGGTAAATCAGCAATAGCCATTATTTCCTGCTTCTCATACTGATATTGTTGTTTTCTGTGCTTCAGCAGCAAAGTATATGTACTGGGCAGCCATGGAAACAGGAAAATCTTATCTGAATCCACACGCTGAAGTTTACGTGCCACTCTTCCAAAGAGAGGGTGGAAATAAGGATGGCTTGCTGCCAAGCATAGTTAAACCAGCAGAATTTCCTCAGCAGTTTCCCCAGAGTTCTGAGCCTCATAGCATTCAGCCTTCTCCTAGTGACAACTTATACGCTTCATCCTCTCAAGGTCAATCTGATGATTCTGAGCCCACAGATACACAGCTTATGGATATGCAATATAACTTCGACATGAATTGTCTGCGGACTAACTTTCATGACATATCAGAGGAGTCACTCTCCCACGTTTATATATTAAAAGAGTGTGATCTGAACGAGACGATCGACATGTTAAATCAACTCGAGGTAAATAGTCTGAATTTTTATATCATATAAGTTCATGTTCTTTCCTTGTTAGATTTTGTACATCATTTTGCATTAATTTCTTAAGTCTCCCCCTGACCCCTCTCATGCCCATAAGAGATTATTCTGAAATCCTAATGCATAATTCGACCTCAATAGATAGTTTACCCAACGCAGAGTATATTTAATGAAAGCATTATCCAATTTTAAGTTAACTATGTAGTACTGTATAACCTAAAAAAAGTAAAATTCTTGTAAAGACACGTGACAAACAGTTTAGTCAATTACTGCAAACACTATTACTATCATATTAGTTTTAGGGGTATAAGTGAGTAAGTGACCATTCATAACTTGTAAAATGTGTAGCTTGGTGGAGTTGACTAAAGTAAAAAGTTGTACTCTACTCAAACACGACTTCTTTGGGAAGTGGGAGTGTTTGATCCTGTAATATGTTCTATATTTATGTTTCTCGTAGAAAGGTCACCCAATGTAACACTTCGCTTGTATGCCTTTTGCATGGCTTTATAGTGCTCACTGATACAATGACACTATATTTCATCCCACCTACCCTAATCATTTGGGATTATAAGGTGCTGTTGACGATCATCTTGTTAACATTTGCATTTCATATACTCTTTTCTTTTCATTATTCCCCATGTCTAAGTCCAATTGATTCATTTTGTAAAGCTTCCTGATTGTCTGTACATTGGGGATGAGTCGGAACCTGGCCCTTCCAGCAAAGCTGCTAATCAGAAACTAAAAAAGTCGGTGACTGGTGAAGCATGCTCAATTCCTGCCTCATCAGGTTCGTCATGCTCCAAACCTGTTAATTAGCAGGATCATGGATGGATTTTTACAGGCCATTTTGCAAGGTCGTGTGGAGGTAGATTGTGAACTCCGTAAAAAAAAAAAGATTTTAGTCTGTTGCTGTTAAATGTGTGGACAGCTTTCCCCCATTGTTGTATAGCATCTTAGTTCTACCTCAGAGTCATTAGTTGATATAGATTAATGGCTTGATTGATGTTAAAATGCACATTGATTTGTTAATTCTTTTGCGTCTTATATGCCCCTAAGGGTGATGTCAATATAACCTGCATACAACATGACACAACGTTTCAAGTTCCAATGGATATCTCAATCCCCCATGTATGACTTTGTTTTTCATGTTTAATTAAGAGATGCTATTTTTATTCTTTAATTAATTGTACTAGATTATGCACGATATACTACCTACATCCTAGTGAGGATATAATAAATTAAAATGATACTTTGGGATCAGCACAACATATGCATGGTGTGTGTCTAAATACCATGTCGTATATTAAAAAGGAAAGCTGCAGCTATTTTCCCTTCTGCATCGCCCATTTGCTCATCTTCACTGATCTGGATGTCCATCTCCTACCTCTTGATTTTTTTCTTTTTGCAAGGGGAAAAAGACTTTGCAAAAAGGATATCACACTTCGCATCCCTCAAATAGTGCATACATTGAAATGTAATCTTAGTGCTTTCAAGTTTGTAAATGTGACTCCTCAGTTGTCCTAGTTGTAAATGTGGTTTTTAAGAGGTGACATTTACAATGTCGGCGAGGATCAAAAGTGTGATTCCCCCTTTTCTTTCTTCTTCTTCATAATCAAAATCAATGTTCTAAAAGTCGCTAGGCGCTAGTCGGGCGCTAACCCAGCGCCTAGGCGGCTAGGCGGGCGCCTAGTCGGGGACTAGTCGGAAACATAGAAATTGCATTTTTATCTATATTTTTGCATAAATATGATAAGCAATATTGTATTTTTGTGTGTATAAAATACATATATACATTAACAAACATGAATGATTGAATTATCACATTTAATCATACGTAGTATATGATAACTAATCACTTAACTTCATTATGTTATAAATATAAATAATGATAAAATTTAGGTATATGTACAAATTATATAGTTTTATCATAATTTACAACTTCATTTCTTTATATCAATGGCTAAAGTTTAAGTATGTCTATCGCTTAGAAAATTAAAATTAAAAGGTGAAGTAATGTTCGTCGAATCTAGACAGCCTAGGCGGCTGATTAGGTGCTCTAGGCGGGCAACTAGACGCCATAGGCAGCCGACTAATTCACCTAGACGTCAAACCAATTAGTCGGAACGCCTAGACGAAAATCGGGGCGCCCGACCACCGCCTAGCGCCTAGGCGGGGACTAGTCGGGCGCCTAGAATGATTTTTAGAACAGAGATCAAAATATGAAGAATCAAACCATGAATTTGCTCTTCTTCATCTTTAAATTATATTACGAGTAAATCTAAGTTTTTTCATTCTCCATCAATTCATGATCACAGTTTTATTAGTCTAAAGCGTAAATTCCTATTTGTACTTGAAAGTCTGCAACTTTCCTTCAAAATATATCTTATATTTTTTTCGGTTTATGTTATTCATATTTGAAATCCAACAAAGCTTAACGTGATCAAAATTTAGTTTAGTAATATGAGTGGGATCCTACCTACATTTAACTTTTGTATCAATAAATAGTACTCCCCCATCCTTGAATTATCTTTCAAATTTTCTTTTTCGACCGTTTCAAAGTATTCTTTCTTTTTTTTTTCTGGCAAATAATTTGTGATTCACAACATTTTTTACACATTATTTCACGTTTCTATGCCAAATGTATTTAGGGATAGAGGAAGTATTACATTTTCAAGTTAATCACATGTTTTAAGACATTTATAATATCATTTACATTGTAGCATATTACATTCACACCATCTATACAATGTAGTGTATTGTATTTACACCAAATATACATATTTGTATTAATATATATCCCATATTGTTCATGCACATTTACATCTTTTATAAAAATATTTATATAAAAATATAGCATAGTTACACAGAAGTTATATCCAGTACTTATGTGTAAGTAGAGTTGTACAAAACCATGATAGAGTTGTACAAAATCGTCTCGAATAGTATAAATAGTGGAGTTGTCACAAAATTGTAGAGATGATTTTTGAGAATTCGGAATTATTAATTAATGTTAATATGAGATTCTTATATACTCCAAGTCTCCAACAGTAATAACATCAATATTATATACTTATTGAAAGTAATAGATTTTTTGCGATATATTTAATGATTTTGGGTTTACGTATGATTAATTAATGCTTATTATTCGCTTTATTTATACTATAAAAATAGAGTATATATTAGCTATGACCTTTAAGCATGAGGTGACTTAGTATTATTATCGTATTGATTTGTAAAGTCAATATTTTTTTTGCTAATCAACGTTGAAATGAAATCCTTCATATTGATAATTAATTCAATTGTTAATAATTAAAATTCACATATTCATTGAAATCTCTTTGAAGTTACAAACTCCAAATTAGAATATAACTAAAAGTTGACATTCTAGTTAAGTGAATAAAACGAAACTGTTTGATAAAAAAAAGTAAATTTTGCAAATCAATTTAGGACGGAGTATTTATTTTGTATAAAAATGGAACCGAAACCATAGAATTGTTCCCGTGACTAGACATTGAAATTGGATATATCAAATAATTACTTCTTAAAGAATACAATTGATCCCTTAAACTCGTTATGAATTCTTTTTTTGGAACAAGAATCAGATTGAAGCTCCACTCTGACCATTGTCCCAGTGAGTGTTGGCATGGTGTTGATGCAATATCGAAAAAAAGTAAGATCGTGTACTTGGTAATTAAACCTACAAAGATAAATAAAATATATCACAAAATATTATAACTACTTTCTTTTATGATTGTAATTCATGATAACTTAGCTAATCACAAAAATTGAACTAGTATTCACTGCACACTAGGAATATAATACTCCTTATTTGGGAGTATTGCTCATTTACTCCCACACTTTTGCTGAAGGAAATTGATAGTTGTTCCAAACTTTATCGTTTGACTCACTGAGTGCATCAAACTTAGATTTCGTGTTATGCAATCAAGTCATATATGCCCAAAACCCTTTCACCGCACTAAACATTTATTTGCACCTTTTTGCCTTCATTGCTGTCTTTTGGACTAAAAGAAAATCAAGTGTTCACCGTTGTCTTTTTCACTTTTGAGGCGCTCTCATAAATCTGTCACACGGCACATAGAGTGATAGGAATGTGATGGAGGTGGGAATCTTGCCTTTTGATTTTGCTTAATTCGCCTTATTTTGGAGAAAGCACTTAATAGTAAAAGTTTGAGAAAAAAATGATTTTGAAAAAGTAAAAGTTGATGATGTTTGGTAAAATAAGTGTTTTTTGTGTAATAGAAAAAGTGAAAAGCAGTTTAAAGCATCATTCCACTTACTTTCAACTTTTAGCTTTTAAATGATTAATTTAAATCGAAAGTGTCATTTGAAAACACTCTTATCAACTTTTTTAAATGAAAAGCTGAAAAACATTTTTTTGAACTTTAGCAAATACTCCCTAATTCATTCACTATTCACTTGGTTATATTTTGTCACTCTTAATCTTTTATTTATATATCGAATTTTCATCAATTACTTTATCGTCAATCAAACATCGTAAACAGTGGCGGATCCAGAAATAAAAGGTATTGGGGGCAGAATTATACACAAATTAGAGTACATTAAGAAAAAAATACATTAAAAAACATATTAGATCAAATAGAAAAAAATGTTATAAAGTGTATTACAATATAATAAGAAACCTAATAAACTTGGTCAATTCTTCTCGAGTTCTTATCTTGTAAAAGTAATACTCCGTATATTACAGTATCATAGTTTCATTTGTGATTTTGCCTCTTTAAAATAAATCTCTTTTTATAAAACAAACCAAATTGTAACTCAAAAACTGGTTACGAATTACTCAAATTATTTACTCTAATCAAATTGTTAGGGCATTCAAGTACTATTAGATACATTTGTACTTGAATTGGCCACTACCAATTAAGTTTTTTTTAAAAGAAATTTATCCCTTAAATATTATAAAAATGTAAGATTAAAGTTTTATTTGTATAACTAATACTACCTTTGTCCCTTTTTATTTGGTTATCTTTGACTTTTTCAGTCATGGTTGATAAACTTTGCTTCATTATATTAACTAATACGAAGTCTATTTATGCGAGTTAATTAAACTATATTTTTATAATAATATTTTTAACCAAGAACATTTTAATATTATCAATATTACTGTGTATAAAAATATATTCGGTTAAAGTTTAACATCTTTGACTTGAATAAAAGAGACCGAGGGAGTACATTATTAATAAATCCCAAATGTTGTGGTATCTCTGTAAAATAATCATCAGTAAACACATGTATTTATGAATATATTTCACTAAATATCTTAACAATATTTAGCCTAAAGATGTTAATTACATTATTATATTCTATAGTTAATTTACAATATTCTATAGTTAATTTTATACTGTTAATTACTTAAATTTAACCTACTAACCTAATAGATCGGAGTAATATATTACGTAGTAACATTTTTATAAATTAGGATAAGTTGTAATCTTTATTTATTTTATTGAGGATAAACAACATTAAGCAGGAACAACACTTCACTACAGTCCGTGAACTTATCTATTTGTTATTCTGGAATTTGGCTATTCCCTGTTCTTCTTGATGTTATCACTTCTTGAATCTATAACCTAATTATTCTATTTTTAGGGATTTAAATCATTTAATTGTTATTACTTCACTTCGGTATTAGTGTAAACTGAAAAGTTGGAAAAGCTTTATTTTATGCTTTGACCGAAGAGCTTTGGGCTGTAAATTTACTGGGGGCATTCTTATATTTTAGTTGGGGGCAAGTGAGTAGGCTAATATTTTTATTAAAGGATTAAGGAGTATTATTGGGGCTTTGTTGGGGGCAGCTGCCCCCTCTATTTACAGCCCCCTCTAATGTTTCGTAAACCGAAACAGGAATGTGAATATAGGTAATTTACCAAATACCTATTTGACTGTGAGCATTTGATTTGCCTATTAAAAACAAAGATATACTCCGTATATGATTGAAAACCGACCCGACTAGACGGATGATGAGTAATGACCCATGCGTGAGATGTAATTTCATGCTTACTGCATGTCGATCAGCTCCTTACAAAACTTAGATGCCCCTGGGACTCAGAAGCTGTTCTCTTCACCTGATCTGAATGTTTCTGATCTGAATTTTTTAAGTTCTGATCTGATCTGATCTGAATGTTTCTGATCTGATCTGAT